TGGGAATCTGTTAGTTGCAAGACATCATTGTTGGTGCTAGGCATTAAAAAATATATTGTAGATACAGTGTGTAACGGATAATAAAATACACAACCATAACTAAACACAGTTTAAAAATTTGGTAAGGACCACAAGAAAAGTGCAAATCAAGTTTTAAGGATCTATATTTTACATGTTTAGGGCTTGATACTTGGTCCAAGACTTTGAGTCCTCCTCAACCCCTAACATAGAACCTTGCATACAGAGCATACTTGATTAATGTTAGCTTAGAAGGTGAGCTGTAAAATTATTTTATAAATTTATGCCTAGTCAATCAATGGCATTTTCATTATCCAAAACTAAACTCTTCAATCTGAAGATATTTATAACAAATAATGTTTTTGTTATATAGAATGTGATATTTTAATTTTTATGAGTGCCTCCTTTCTTTTCATTGTACTCCATATCCTGATTTTTATTTCAAGACTCGTTCTACTAAATCTTACATGATATCCACTGCCCAGTTAACCTAGGTCTGTAAGGTTCATGGAATGTGGCTATAATTCTTTCTGCCTCTAAGATATCTAATAATCAAGACTTAAAGAAAGGGCTCTGAGGAGTCTCTGAGTTCATGGGGTCTTGCCTCTTTTAAGTACAACTTACTAGAAAAATATGTAAAATAAATGATTGTCAGAGCTTTAGAGGAAGTTATTAACATTACTCTCTTTCTCAAAAACAACTGTATTGTTCAATCAACCTGAGGGATCACTGAATTAAGTCAGCTTTTTAAAAAATAGATTATTCTGCATTTTTCACAACTTGAAGTTCCCTAAAGTACTCAAGATTGAGTAAAATAAAATGTGCTTTCTTTTGATCTGAGTGATTGAGGTAAAGTGAAGGCATAAATTATGTTTAAGGACCCTTAAATCTCTTTTAAGATTTCATGACTCTCTAATACTCGATAGTAGGATGCATTGGTTATGATGCCAACTACTATATAGCCAACACCTTTTCAACTCAACCCCCTCTATCCATTCCGTTTGTTAACAGAATTTTCCTTCACTGCCTTAACCCAAGCAGAAATTTTTTAGAAGCTTCATCTGCCCCCACTTTGAAGACATCTGGCTGAATTTCAAAGAGAAAGGACACAGCAGAGTTAAAAGGAAGCAAAAAGGACAGCCTTCTTTTGCCTAAGTTCTGTCAATTTGACTGACTCTTACTTGTGAATTTTTCTTGCCACTGAGTCATTCCATACAGAATTATGAAACTTTAATTTCTTTAGAGGCTTGTTATATTAGAAAAATTGTTCCAAAGAAAGCAACAATCATGACATAAGCACATCTGGCTCTTGCAAATTATTCTTTATTAAGCTTTCATTTAATTACATGTGCTGAAAGGTCTGTTTTTGATTACTGTAATTTTTTTTATTTGTCCATCTGAATGATAGTAATGCTGGAAATTATATACAAACCACCTGTTTTTTCTCCCCTACTAATATAGCAAAGTTTGAGCTGTTTTCTCTCTGGTTGATGAACTAGGAAGCTTTCTATTTATTATGATAGAAATTTGACTATCAAGGTAATGGCTTAATCTTGAGTATAAGAGGAAAATAAAATATTTGAATGAAGTTTTCAAGCATTAACTAGTGTTAAGATTGGGGCACCTAACTTCTGGCTAACTATAGCAGATTAACACATTTATTTATTGCCAGTTTCATACAAATCTTAATATAGCAACAGTTAAGGATTATAGGTATAAACCTTCAAGTAGAAATAGAAAGAGAGGCCAAAAATGTTTTTGGAATATGAGAAATGGATAGATAGGGATAGATAACTGTCTTTGCAAAAAAGAGAAAGCTGATATCTAAGCTTTAAGAGTGTAAAGCAGAAAAGAATCAAGCCCAATTGTGAGCTGAATCTTTGAAAGGTTGAAGAATTAAAGGCATCATGTATCGTTGAAGGCAAGGATTGAAGAGGTAGATTTGTAGACAAGATGATTAGTTGAAAACAGACAGAAGATGATCCCTCTCTAACCCTATGCAACTGGTAACTATAATTCCTACCTCTCAACCACCATAACCGCTACATAACTTGGTAGAAGACTGGAAGTTTATGGAAGGTTACTCTCCTGAGAAGTTGAACTTGAGAGGTTGAGAGGGAGATTATTTTTGGTGTGTGTGTATGTGTGTGTGTTAGGCATAGCCAAGAATGAGTAGTGATAACATTTTGGAAAGGTGATAGAGCAAGACAGTAAGATCCCCTAGCTACCTCCTCCTGCTTGGCCCACTCAGTGGTGGAATACAAGTCTATCCCTCAACACAGGCAAGAATTTGAGGATCTCTCTCAAAGAAAATAGTCCAATGTAAAAGAAACAATCTACAGATACTGATATTTGGGATTCCTCATTGAAAAAACCCTATTTTATGCATTATTACTTTATACACATCAGTCAATAAGTGAACCCCCCCACTTAGACTTTTCAATCATCTTGTGAGTATGTCACTATTATAGATGAATAAACAATCAATGAACACTAAAAACTTCATTAAAGCCTCTTATAAGGAAGAACCCAAAGAGCTTGAAAAAGACAACAGTGCAGAGAACAGAAAGCAAAAACAAATCCCAAACCTATAATTAATATTATTCAACAGAATAGACAACTGGATGCTATAAAAAGAAGCAATTAGAGAACAAAAGAGTACCTTTAAAATAAGAATATAAATTTTAAAAATTCATAGATGCCTTGAAGATCAAGTTAAAAAAATCTATGATAGCGTATAATTAAAGGTCAAAAAGTGAATAATAGAAGGGAAAATAAGGAAATCGAACAGTTATCCAACAGGAGTTTGAGAAAGAGAATAGAGGGAAGAAAGTTGTTAGTTATTTACCAGATTTAGGGAATATGAGTTTACAGAGTAAGAAGGCCAAGTGTATAGAACAATACAAACATAAACGGATGCACCTCATAGTGAAGTTTCAAAACACTTGGCATAAATGGAAGATCCTAATGCTTTCATAGGGGAGAATAAATTGCATATACAGGATCAGGAATCAGAATGACATCAAACTTTCTTAGCAATAAAAATAAGAAAACAACAGATCAATATCTTTAGAATTCTGAGGGACAATTATTTTCAACTTAGAATTCTATACCATTCAAACTACAATCAACTAAGAGGCATAATCATAACATTTCTCAGAATATTAGCTCTTAAAAATTAACTGCACATATACCTTTTTCAGGTACCTCCTGAAAGATGTGCTCTATCCAAAAGAAACAGTTTAGTAAGAGGCAGGAAATCATGATAGCCAGGAAACAGAATTAAGGATAGAGAGGCAAGAGTAATTATACATACTATAGATCTGCAGTAGGCCAAAAGAATCAACTACTTCAGATTAGAGCAAGAGATAGAAAATTCCAAGATGGACATCTACATGGAGAAGAGGTATAAGATACCTAAAACAGATTACCTGATATATTCAACTAGACTGGGTTGCATTTCATTGGTCTCTTGGAGAGTTTGGGAATTGATTTGTGATATTTCCATAATAAATTAATAAAAATTGAGGCAAATATTAAATCTAACAAAATAAAAAGTTGAGAAATAGAAAATTAAGTATAGTTCAACTGTGAATAATATCTAAAGAGAATGCTATAAACAGTAAACATTAATTTTAAAATTTGTGATATTAACATTAAGAAATCAGGGAGGAAAGTCTGTAGCACATGTGGGGTTGGTAATATAAGAGAGGTAAATTTTCGTCTTTTATTATATAAAGTCAGTGGATAAAGATTTAACAGTATATATGCATCTACAAGTGAGACAATAAATACCAATCAAACCATTAAGTTCAAGGGATGTACAGAGCTGGGTCTGAGGTAGGGAGGACAGGGGCAGGAAAACCAAAGCTACCACATGTGGCTGTAGAGGCTGTGTACTGTACATGTTGGCCATGCTGTTTTGTTGTTGGTTTCTTTCTGGTTTTAAGCCCTAAAGTAGTAATGAACTTGTTAAACTTGTTGACTATAAGAATACTTTGATAAAAATTAACGTTATATAAAAAGAGGTTGGTCAACCTGTCTTTCAATCTTTGTTCCTAATTTAGCTATATCCACGTATTTTGAGGTTGACAATTTTAAGATTTATAATATCAGGTTATCCACTTATCACGGAAAAAGGAATTCTCTTAAAACTGAGCAGATAGAATGAGTAAGAGTATCATTGGTTTGCTCAAGAGGACCATAGGCATTACTTCAGAAAAGACTATGAAACAGCATTGAGAATATAATGAGCATAACCTGGAGTCTCAGGCAAAGGCAGGACCTGAGGAAAGAAACAGAGTGATCTTTTCTGGACCTGATTCAGGTAGAGAATAAAGTGGGTAGCTTCTGTGTCCCACCCAACAAAAAGCTTGATGTTTTGTTTTTATTTTATAATCCATTGAGGACTATGTTATGTGTTGCCTGGAAGTAAGAGGGCCTGCCTTTGGGCCTCCAAGGTCTTGAGGGTGGCACTCATCATCCAGAAGGATCAGAGTTCCCAGAGAAGCTCAGTCAATGCTGAATAAGAACAGTGTAGTTCTTCCAGGAATCCATAGGAATATTCAGATTAGTTCTTAGTTCAGGAATAATAGAATTACATAAATGGGTAAACCAGATATTTAAGGGACTTTTTAATAGAGATTTGAAGCATGAGAAAGAATCTTTGAGACAACTTAGTCAAATTCCTTTTTGTGCAATTGAAGAAATCCTTCTAGAGGGATCAAATCCTTTATTCAGGGTTTCAATATTATTGCCAGAAGGAACAGGCACAGAACCACAGCTTCCATGCCAGTGCTCTTTCTTTCCATTGTATTACTTAGTTTTTCTTATTTTCCTCTTTGAAAAATAGTAAAAGAAAAATTGTGAGGCTGTCAGAAAAATAGTCACCTAACAATACGGTAAGTTTTATTTATTTTTTTCCTGAAACTCCATTTTAGCTGCATTTAAAGAGATCAATGTTTGTCTTCACTGTTTTGCAGCAGCTCTATGCCGCTCAGCTGGCCAGCATGCAGGTGTCACCTGGAGCAAAGATGCCATCAACTCCACAGCCACCAAACACAGCAGGGGCAGTCTCACCTACTGGGATAAAAAATGAAAAGAGAGGGACCAGCCCTCTAACTCAAGTTAAGGTACTTGCTTTGCAGAATTGTGGAAACTGTTTGGAAAATAGCTTCACAAGAAAGGTAGTGAACCAAGCTATGCTGGGAATAAACAGCAGGCAGCATAGCAACATAAAGGAACCCCAAAATGCTCCTCTTTATGGTAAATTTCATGATTGAGCATTGAGAAACAGGTGTTTCTCTTTTGATAACAATAGTGCCATATTGTGAGATCTTTACCTAAATCTGCAAACTCACTTCTCAAAAATTTTTCCCTTTTGGATTCTGGCTTTTATTTTTTAATGTTCATTGGCATAAATGGCCATGATTTTATTGCTAGTCTTTGTCATGGACTTGTGACACTTCTTTCCATGTTCCTTAAACAGGTGGGGAGCCAACTTACAGTACGAGAGAAGGAAGATTGTGAATTTTTAGCTTTAGAAGGGGGACAAAAAATAATTTAATGCTGAATACTAAATGGTTTGTTGATGAAGTTCTCTCCAAAATAAGTTGTAAATGGGGACTCTGAGGAATTAATGACATCATTGCCTAGTTGTGCTTTTGATGCCAAATAATTGTGATAGACTTTTTCAAGTAATAATGTCAACATTAATAGATACCTTTCCTAACTGATTTTCAGTGCCTTGAAACTGGGCATCCTGGAGATATTTGGTGACAGAGAGAAACTGATGAGCTACTCCAACTTTGTGCTGCAGCTGGTACCTATAGGTGGTACTGGTTGTTTTTTATGATTATATTTGCTTTCCATCTTGAATTACTTAATTCAAATAGTTCAGAGAAACTATTGTCCTATATAGTTGACTTATCTACTTGGACATGGGTATGTTAAATATAGATGCTGTATTATAATGTGACAAAAATGTGCATTTGGAAAATTGTTGCAATTATTAAATCTTCACATAGAAAGCAGTTAAGACCAACCAAACTCAGCATTGGATGGTATATAATTACTGAAATTGTTTTATTTTTTAAAAATTTACAGTTAGGAATTTTGAGACTGAAGAAAGTCTCGAAAAAAACAAGGGACTCCAAATATCAAAGATCAAAAAAGTGAGCATCATTAATACAGATAGACTAACACCAATTCCCCAAGTTAATTTAATGCCATTCAGTCTTTTAGATTCTCCAAAGAAATAGATGAACATTTATGTTTTGTTGTTAGAAATATTAAGATATGAAAATAGGTGGTTTACATTTCATAAGACAGTAGTTTTTTTAGGAAAACAGGCTATTTTGTGTTCCAAAAGTTTATGTTTGTGAATAAGAGAATACTACAACTTTAACCAAGTCATTAGAATATAGGAAATATCTGTGACTTGAGCTATTGAGTATTAAATATTTTAACATGAAAAAGTCATTTTATAAGTATTGGCCAACTGGAACTACACAAAACCAAGCCTTTACTGTATGAATAAAATGTTCCCTGGTTATGTTCAAGCTTATATCTGCTTTTACCATTCTGTCTTTGTGAGACAACTGAATTTTTATTACTCACTTGACCACACGCAAATTCTTAGGGAGTTCTCTATATAATTTAACTTGCCTATATTTTATGTTAATAACAAAGAAAACATTTCTCATACCCATTAGATTGTTTATTGTATATGTGTGTGAAAACATATAAACCAAAACATAAAGCAAATGTTTCAAAATTTAAAAATAACTATTATTGAAGAACTTCTGAAAATAATCCCATGGCTTTCTAATTGAAAAAAAAATTATGATCACCAAAATCTCTCATGTTTCTCTCTGTAGTCATTTGCTTATTTTGAATTCAGACATGACATAGGGCAAAATTTGCTAGAGGTAACATATTTTAAAAATAATCTTATGTATCTTCTTTTTCCCAGAATTTTTATCTAATATAATAGTCAACATCAGTAGTCAGAATATTTATGTTCAAATACCTGTTCTACCGCTTTTACTACCTGTGTTACTTTGGGTAAATTGCTTAATTTCTTTCAACCTTTGCGAACCATGCAATTGCTTACCTTCTGGCATTTACTCCTGGCCTCAGGTAGTTTCCTCACATGCATGCACTGATTAGCACTCCGTTGGGATCTCTGGTAAATCCTCAGCATTCTTTCTCTGTGTAGCTTTCTCTTTGTTACCCTATCTTGCGTATTCTACCTATGTCAGCATCGCCAAACTCTGAACTCTCAGGGATCCTGTTTTCTTCTCTGTAAAATGGAAGTTAGTGTTATGGGTCTTAAATGAGACAGTATATCCTCTGTTGTAAAATGAGCATTCCATAAATGTTGGTGGTAGTGATGATGCTCATAACAGTAATAAAGGAAATGGTGTGGTAGTTTTAGCAGTTGGAATTAAAATGTTGAGTTTTGGACTTCCGTACTGAGAGGAAACCCTAATTGAACATACCTAGAGGATTTCCGTTGTCAACCCTGATGGAAGATCCAGGATCAAGCTTCACTTTCCCAGGTTAAACGTGTAAAACTCAGGACAAGACTATATAAAACAGTGGTTTGGAGGCATTTAAAATAGGAAGACAGTGGTCCCTGCAAAAAGAGAAACAAGTGAAGGGAGCACTAGACTTGTTCTAGCTTACAGTCTAGCGGGAGTTTCCAGGCAACTGTGGAGGGAACTTGCCAGGATCCCCAAATAGAGAGACAGAGGTCAGAGTTTAGGTATGCTGACATAGATAGAGTTTGTAAGGTAGGTGCCAAAGGGGAGAGAACTACACAGAAAGAGAATGCTGAGGCTCTACAGAAAATTCCTCTGTATATAATACTGATATGCAAGTACACTCATGTGAGGAAACTACTTGAGGCCAGGGAAAATACCAGAAGGTATCAGGCAAAGCAATTGCATGGTTCACAAAGGTCCACTCATAGTTTGCATTCCCAGAGTGCAAACATCTCCTGACATGTAAGTCATCAAGTACAGTTCCCAGAAGGGTATTTGTCTCATAGGGAGGCCAAATTCTCTCTAGATTAATGGCTGTTCTGAACCTGCCTAATAAATCTGAAAAGTATACTCAGAAAGGACCAAATTGTTCTGAATCTCAGAACAAAGTCCACAAATATTTAAAGAAATGCATAAATTCTAGCATCTGACAATGGAAAATTCACAATGCATAGCATCTATTCAATAATTATCAGGCTTGTAAAGAAGCAAGAAAATATGAATGATGAAGAGAAAATTCAGGCTATTTCAAGCAGATTTCAAAATGATGACAGATAATAAAATTAGCAGGTAAAATAGTAAAAGCAGCTATTATATGACACTTCTAGCTGGACCCAAGTGAGGAGATAGGCAAATCTGTTCTCTAAAGAGTACCTATAAAGCTGGACAAAGTTGACAAAAACTTCCATCTCAGCAATCTGGAAATTGACTAAAGGCACATATAATCTGAAGAAACATTTATGCTTCTTACATGTAAGAATAGTAGGAGTGTGTGGAATTTATTTCCCCTATCTCCAGGCTCAGCACAGAGTTTCTGTCAGGCTAGGGTAGGGTGTAAGAACCAACAGTAGCTAAGCCACGTTAGAAAAGGACTCACTGTATTCGGAGTTGGTAGGTGATACTCATGTCCAGTGACATTGTTGATGGAAATGATAATCATTATATTATAAGTAATAAATTAGAGCATATTTAAAACCAAAAAGGATGTTATAAACTCCATATATTCAAGAAGATTAAGGAAATCATATGAATGATAAGGCAGGATATAGAAAAACCTAAACTGATTGTCTAAAAATGATATTACAGTGTTCAAGATGAAAATACACTGGATGGGATTGGTAACGTCTTAGACATGGCAGAAGAAAAGATTAGTGAACTTGAAGACATAACAATAAAACCATCCAAAATGAAACTGAAGAAAGATTGGTCAGTACTTTGAGTCAACTTAAATGCTCTCATATTTGCAATCGGAGCCCCAGAAGGAGGGAGAAAGAACAGACAATTATATTTGAGGAAATAATGGCTGAGTATTTTCCAAAGTTGAGAAAAATTCTGAACTCAAATATTTTAGAAGTGCAGTGAACCTTAACTAAAAGAAAAAATGGGGGCTTGGATTGTGGCTCAGAGGTAGAGTGCTCGCCTAGCATGTGCAAGGCCCCGGGTTCGATCCTCAGCACCGCATAAAAATAAATAAATAAAATAAAGATATTGTGTCCAACTACGGCTAAAAAAATAAATATTTAAAAACAAATAAAAGAAAAAATGGAAGAAACTAATCAAATGCTTAGCATATAAATCACCATTATTTAAATAGGAGTAAAGGAACTAACTGGTCTAAATATCCTTTGAATTGAGGACAAAAAGAAGTAAATTGTAATTAAGTACATCAGATAATTTTGGCATCCATAATACATATAACTATTTCTTAAGAACATGTCCCATATCTAAATATAGATTAAAAAAACATTACAACATAGATGTGACAGAAGGCCTCTTTCTTACCAGGACCAAAAGAAAACAAAGCAAAAACCTAGGACATCATTACGTTATCAAATAAATGAATTATTTTCTCTGGTAGTTTGGTAGAAAGGGGGCCTGAGTTTGGAATTCAGTAAATTAGAATTCAGATTCTTTCAATCACGCATGACCTTGGAGAAGTGATTTTGATCATTCCCATCTCCATTTCCTCATTTGTAAATGTAGAATACCACTGCCTCATGGAGCTATTGGTGGCTAAATGAGGCAATATATGTGAAATGCTTCAGAGACTACTTGGTATGTTATCATTCTTTTTCTCTTTCCAGTTCTCCTTCTCAAGTGGTATTTTCTGGCATCTCTTTTTGTTCCCCTTAATCAGTGGTATTTGTACTGGAAGAGACCTTAGAGATCATTTAGTACGAGACCCTCTTTTTAATGGATGAAGAAAAAGAGCCCTAGCGAGATGCCGTGTTTACCAAGGGAGAGAATGTTCTGTTACCAAACTCTATTTTGTATTTCAAATAAGGTGACATTAAAATCCAGCTCTCTGTGCCTCTCAGAAGCAAAACAGGAGTTAACATTTGCTGATGATTTTATTTTAGAACATAATAATGCAGATCTTAAAACTGAACATTTAAATGAATATGCTCATATTATAACCAAATTTCTAGGATGATAGAAGTGTTGCTACAGGTATTTTATGGCAGGATAAATGAGACAAAATGAAAGCAAGGAGCTTAGCTTTAAAGTTCCTAGCTAAACTAGAGTTACAAGCCAGATAGCAGAATAGTGTGCTCAGTGTAGAGGGAAATGCATCTTAAAATAGACATTCCGTAAATATATGTAGCAAAGGGTATAACAAGACATCACTTTAAACATGAAAAATAAATTGCGTATAGCATAGTATGTAAAACATAATTATAATGTGTGCTTGCTCTTTGCAAAAATTAATTTTAAACATGAATAGAGACCAGAATATAGACCACAAAGAGAGCCCACACCCAGAAAGCCACATAGAAGCCATGGTGTGGCATGTGGCTCTGTGGGCTGGGGCCCAGATCAGAAGAAGACTTTCCATGTTTCCATTTTTAAAGTACTTGTGATTGTTTGATTTAAAATATATATTAAAAAATTAGCTGCAGAGTCTATTTATAGTTACAGGAACTTTTCAGAGAGAATAACACAAAAGCACTACAGAGCTACTGAAATTTTAAATAATTCTTTGTAAATGCCCTAGGTTAATTTAGATCCCTGAAAACACATTAGGAAATTAAGCTGTAATGTGAGCTAATTCAGATTTTAATTTGGCAAAAAGAATGATCCAACTACACAGTTAATGTAAATAGAAGCATAACACAGGGAAATTAATGAGGTTTCCTTTCGATGAATCTTCAAGGAGGTAGATAATTAGCTTCTTTTGTTATTATTGTAGGAGAATGTAGCATTGTCTCTGAGGTGTAAAATAACTGTGGCTTACTAAGTGATAATGTGCTTCATTTGTCTTTTTTTTTTTTAATAATTATTTATGTTAAACTCTTGCAGGATGAAACAGCAGCACAGCCGCTGAATCTCTCTTCCCGACCCAAGACAGCAGAGCCTGTGAAGTCCCCAACATCTCCCACACAGAGCCTCTTCTCAGCCAGCAAAACCAGCCCCGTCAATCTGCCAAACAAAAGCGGCATCCCCAGCCCCCTTGGAGGAAACTTGGGAAGAGGATCCTCTTTAGGTAAATGGAAAAGTCAACACCAGGAAGAGACTTATGAATTAGGTAAAAGAAAGCAAACCTGTTTAGTGATAACTGATCCTCATTTCCAACCCGTTCCTTAAAGATAATCCTCTTTTCTTTTCTATTGAAACATAGCCCAAGTTAGTATTCTGGGTGATTAAAACTTTTGGAAAAAATTCTAATGTAAATCCCGCTGGAATGGGTTTTTCAATTGGTGGTGACTTAGATCCAGCAAGTCACAGACTTAAGAAATTCTGTTTTTGTCAGTGCTTTCTACCTAAAGTAACTCTCCAAGGCCTTAGGACCTGGCCTCAATGCTGCCTGTCAAAAGTTTAAACCTTCTTTTGAAATTTTATATTTTCTCTTCAAAATGTATGTGAAATTTACATGTTATTATTTATTAATTTTGCATTAAAATAAATATAAATTACATACTTCAATAACATGTGAAATAACATTGATATCTAGGAAGCTATATCTTGTACTCCTGCATATATTGTCAAATATCTCTAGGAATATTCACACCTCTGTGTGAAAACTCCGGAGGAAAAAACATGGGTTTTAAAAATGAGACAGGCTTGCACTGAGAGCCTTTACTGACTAGTGGCCCTGGGAAATTTATTTAATATTTTAAAATTCAGTTTCCTAATCTCTGAAAGGGGAATAGTATGCCTCAGTTCATAGGCGACTATGAGGATTAAAAGAGAAAAATGTATATAAAGTGCCCAGAACAGTGTCTAGTACCTAAGAAGATGTTCAATTTTAAAAGGCTAGAATAAATAATACCTACACATTTACAAATACTATAATGAAACAATAAATATGAAAACACCTGTCAATAGGAGAGTGCCAAAAAGCATTAAAATTATTACTGTATTCTTTATAACTCTTAATATTCTAATAAAGACATTGAGACTTGAAAAGGTTAGGGACTAGACCTAGCGTTTCTTCACCATGTTACCTTGCTTGTATTATTGAATCCTATAGCTTAAAATTCTCCTTATGCTAGATAGAATAACATGCAACTATAGCCATTTATAGTTACAAACATTGTTGCTTATTTGATTTTAATAAGGTTGTGAGTTAGGTGATTCATGATTATGATACTTGTCACACAGGTAAGGTAAATTGTGGTTCTTACGGGTAAAATGATTTGCCCACAACACTGTAGCTATTAATTAGCAAAGCCAGAACCAGAATCCAGGTCCCCTTACACATAACTCAGTGTTGTTTTTGTAAACTCATAGTTGAAATATTTACTGAGTGGGCTGAGACTAAGTAAATCTTTTGTTAATGAGACATATATCTTCCTCATTGAAATTTGGGATATGAGGATCTCTACAGCAGCCTATTCTTATTTTGTGTCAGGATGACTTCTTCAGGGATTCAGAGATTTTCACCTCAAGTCAGAGAGAAGTAAATCATTTCCAGCATATGAATGTGAAGAACATCCTTTGACTGGATCTTTATTGTTGTGAGATGAGAGAAAAAGTTCAACACAAAGATAAATAATAGACCTGACCTTGAAATGGCCCTCCTATAATTCACTTCTTCATTTTTTTTCAGAACACATTTGTTTACTGTACAGATAATTGTGAAGGACAGAGATGACTATTCTTATAGTTCTATACTTAGACTTCAGCAGATGGGCTGAAGCAATAGCACCTGTAGTCTTTGTTGTCCAGATGACATTGGATAGAAATGGTCTTTTTATCAGAAAAGCCCCAAGACTAAATATGTGTGTGTGTGTGTGTATGTGTGTGTGTGTGTGTGTGTGTATTTTAATGTCCTAAAAAGTAACTGATTTGTTAAATTTTCCCATTGATAGCCTTGGGATTTTTTCCAGACTCACACATATATGTACATTCACTGCACATCTAAGACACGTGATGTGAGCGTGATTGTAGTCTGGTTTCCTTTGTCCCTTCCGACTATGTGAGGTGTACACATATGCACACACAAACACACATGCCCATATACATGTGCCATGAAAATGCTTAATGCCACTGGGCCTCAAGCAAGTGGACATTAAAATTTGCCACAGAAGCTGAAATTAGTACTCATCAAATAATTGTCCTTTAAAAAATTTTTTTTGTTGTTGTTGTTTCTTTAGTTGTGGTCAGACATAATACCTTTATTTTATTTTTATGTGGTGCTGAGGATTGAACCCAGGGCCCCACACATGCTAGGCAAGCGCTCCACTGCTGAGCCACAACCCCAGCCCAAATAATTGCCCTTTTTTGTGTAGAATTGGAAAACTTATTCAAAGTATTTTATTTTGCTCACAGTAAAATGCAAGATATCAAAGAACATTAGTCGATTTCATTTTGAATCTTTTCCCTCTGTGTTGCATGAAATATAATAAAAGCAAATATTTACTCTCACTTTATTGGAGCCTTTGTATTTACGTGAAAACTGTTCCCACACCCTTGGCTTAGCTATCTTGAGGATAGGGAGTGAAGAGCAGTGGGTACTGGGGGTGGGGTAGGGAGGGGGCCATTCTTCTCTTGGTAAATAACTGAGGTTGCATGATGAGAAGAATGCTTCATTAGCCAGCCAGCAATTGGGGAATGGAGAACACGGAGAACATTCCTCCTGCCCCCTCGCTCCTGCAGTGGACACACGAACATATACACACAGAGGTCACTAAAGCACACATGGAGCTTCATAGATTTTTTTGTTTCCTTCTAAAAAAGAAACAGTTTTCCTAAAGGGGCACACCAAATATAATAGGGTGCCGGGGTACACATTCCTGCCTTCCCACTACATTCTCTTATCCCTATCCTCCACACCACACCACTCCTCCAGAGAAAGCAAGGCCATATACAGACTGGGGAAACAACTAGAAGAGGTATCTCCCCCAGTAGATACACAATTGGAATCTAGGAACCTTCATCTGTGAGAAAACGGGTAGCAAGAACCCATGTAGACTTGAGTGGTGGGCTGTCCTCCAAGGACTAAAAGGGACAAGCACTTTGGTTGCCCTGGCTTTCTGTGTTCTATGCATAGTATTGTATAGCTTTCCCAACAAATATGCCCCTTCCTTATTCAGAAAATGCAGAATTCCACAGGAGAGTGGAGAGTAATTCTTTTTATGAATTTATCCTCACTAGCCTTTAATAATGCATCCTGTATACGCAGATATCCTGTCCAGTCTCAACTCCCCTGCCCTGTTTGGCGATCAGGATACAGTGATGAAAGCCATTCAGGAGGCTCGGAAGATGCGAGAACAGATCCAGCGGGAGCAACAGCAGCAACAGCCTCATGGTGTTGATGGGAAACTGTCCTCCATGAATAATATGGGACTTAACAACTGCAGGAATGAAAAGGTAAAACTGGTTTCTCTCCTTCACTGATTCTGCTAGACCCATTGGCTTACTGTCATCTGTTCTTTCAAGATTCCCAAATATCAACTTTCAGCCCAAATTTGGGCTTCTAGCTTGAGGGCTATCTTGTATTTTACTCAAATTTGTCATGTGTCCCATTTACTGCTGATTAACAAAACACACAAGACATGCTTTCCCACACAGTGTGGGACCTGCCTATTGATGTCTTTCTGTCACATTATGAAATGTATCTTAAAATAAAGTGTATATATTATGTTATTAGAATAAAAACAGAGATTGGCATATTTAAAAAAAGCATATGTGCTCATGATTAAGGCTAATAAGATACCATAACCATTGAAATTAATACTGATTTTCCAGTCACACAGGGCAAAAAAACAAAACAAAGCGATTTGTAAATTCATTCACTTATCTTTTTGTTTCATCAAATAATTTATCCAGTGCCTATTCTGTGATAGACTCTATGAGTAAATCTGAAAAGTTTTTGTTCTAGGAGAGCTTACATTCGAGCATGGGAACAAGACAATGATGAAATAAGAAATTAAATATGCAGTGTAATGTTAGGAGGTGAATAAATGCCATGAGAGAAACTAGAAGCAAGAGAAGGGTGTTTATTTTAGATGGAGTGGTAATGACTCTCAGAGGAAGTGACATTGATTAGAGACCTGAGTGAAGCAATGGTGACCTATGAGGAACAAGAGGAAGGTTTTTCAGGCAACAAGAACAATAAGCATAGAAGCCAGTGGGATGACAGGGAAGAGTCAGCAGGGGGATGCAAATAAAAAGTGATAGCCCAGACAGAGCATATTAGACCTGGTGGGCCCTGGAAAGGCTTTTCATATTATCCTAAGTGTAATGGGGATCCCTAGACTGGTTATGTTCAGGATGTTGACATGATCTGGTTTATATATAAGAGGATCCATCATTGTGCTTTCTGTGGGAAAACAGACTGTAGGAGGTGAAGCATGGAAACAAGCAGTGTAGCTGAGGCTATTCTAGTAGATGGGGTAGAAAATTCTGATTATCTGATAGGATGAAACATGACTATTTTTTTAAGACACAAAAATACTTTCCCAGTGCTATATTATGAGAGTGTTTTTTTTTTAAAAAAAAAACAACATGGAACTATATGGGTACAAATGAGTAGCATGATGGGCAATGTCTTAGGTAACCGTTTTAGAGTAAGATCTTTAAAAAATATTTCTATTCAAACAAGACTGGGAATATAGCTTATGAATTCAGGGCCAAGAGCCTCTTCCTCATTTCAGTGCTTGCTAATTCTAGCATGTGGCAGAGTCTCCATTAGTCAGTCTCCATTCATCTGAATAAAACTTGTAGTTCCTCCAATTCCTAAAAGGATTTTTAAATTTGCACATGAAAAAAAGTCAGAAGTATGTGATTCTATGTGCTGCAGGCATTTGAATACATACCCGTAACCAGGGTGTTTATTTTTTAATATGTTTTCTTGTGTTTCCTTCTTACAAGATACAGTGATATGAGAGTCTGGAAATGTGGGTGTATTCGTTTCCTCAGGATACTTTGACAAATGACCACAAACTCAGTTGCTTCACACAACAGAAATGTATTTTCTCTCACTTTGGAGAAAATCCAAATGGGACTCCCAAAGTGTGTATGTGATCAAAGCCCTTACACAGATTAGGAAGTTTAGCTCTGAAAGAGTGTTGACTTCTGAAAGCTTAGTAAAGAATATGGTTTTACCCTCAGTTACCACTGCACTGAGTTACTCATGTTAACATCATGTATGTATGTTTTTCTTGTGTTCTTTTAGCATGGAGTGTATCCCTACCATTTTCTTGATAAACTTGAGGGCCTGTTTGCTCTTGGAGACCTCGAATAGCTCCAAGTTGCATCACTTATTTGGAGCAAAGACACCCCTTTCTGGGGTGGGGGGCATACCCAGGATTAAACTCAGGAGTACTAGATCACTGAGCCACATCCTCAGCCCTATTTTGTATTTTATTTAGAGACAGGGTCTCACTGAGTTGATTAGTACCTTACTTTTTGCTGAGGCTGGCTTTGAACTCGTGAACCCCTGCCTCAGCCTCCGAAGCTGCTGGGATTACAGGGATGTGCCACCACACCTAGCCATACATGCCTTTTATGTATAAATGGTGGTTGGTCTTTTGGTGTCTAGCTAATCATATACATGCTGGTTCCTCCTTCTGCTCAATAAATATGTGCCTCATTCCCTTTTAAATGCCTTATCCCATTTTGGAACCGTGGCAGTGGGTTCACAAGGCAAAGGCCCTCTTTAAGAGCTTCCTAAGTAGATGGATATGGGTAGTGTATGGCTTCAGGACTAAAGAGAAAGAAGAAAGCTTCATTCCTAAATATCTCTGCCACTCTGATACCAGAGATACACAGTCATTTTTTTTTTCACCAAAGATAGTTTTCTGCTCAGTGAAAATACCATGAAATAATAACAAATTCAATTTTTGTGTAAATAACTGCTTTATGACATAGGTAAGTGAAAAGTTTTGGCATGGAATACCAAGTGGAAAATTGGGTGAAAAGCAAGAGAATGGGTACATGTACCATCCCAAATCTTACAGTTTTGCCAAGTGTTAATCCTAAAATTACTTTGAGAAAAGTTCAGTGATTTTTAACATTCATTATTTTTATTTTTATTTATTTATTTTGAAATGAAAGTTGCATTCTTACTGAAAATTCTAATAATACAGAAAGAGGTATGGTGAAAAGTTAATAATTCTCTTTATCCCATGAAGTTCCATTAATTACTCAGAAATTTTCTTTGAGTAGTAACAATCATTAGTGAGTCAGAAAATTTCTTGGCATAGTCAAGCAAGTGTTAAGAAGTTTAAGGGAGTATATTCTCATTCAGAACAGTTGTCACTGAGTTATCATTTATACACAATGTGCTATTTGGCAAATTGATAAACCTTTCTGAGCCTCAATTTCTTCATCTATAAATGAAGGTAATCATTGAAGATATAATATAAGATATATGTGATTGCACCTGGCTTAACTCCTGCTACAGAGTAGGTGCTGCCTGAACTTTTTCTCCATACCATTACCTAAATAATAAATGACCCTTGAACATATACAGCAAATTCAGTTGTCCTCCCTTATCTTCAAGGGATGTGCCATGGACAATACCAAACCCCATATATACTATTTTTTCTGTGCAGACACATCTATGATGAAATTTAATGTAGAAATCAGGCACAGTAAGAGATTAACAACAGTAACCAGTCATAAAATAGAACAATGATAATAATATACTGTAATAAAAGTTATATGAATGTGCTCTCTCTGAAAATATTATACTTACCCTTCTTTTTGCAATGATGTGAGATATGATATAATGGCTATATGATGAGATGAAATAAAGAGAAGGGATAGGCATTTTTAGGGTTCTATATAAGGATTACTTGAACACAAGCACTGTGTACCTGGGTAGCAGATCTGATAACGGAGATGGCTATTAAGTGACTGATAGACAGGTAGCGTTCCAGCATAGCATGGATACACTGAACAAAGGAATGATTCAAGTCCTGCAATGATTCAAATCTATGATGAGATTTCATCATAGAACCCAGAATTGTGTGCAATTTAAAACTTATGAATTGTTTATTTCTGGAATTTCTTATTTAAGATTTTCACACCATGGTTGACTGCAGGTAACTAAAAATCTGGAAAGCAAAACTGCAAATAAGGAGGGGATTACTGTATAGTGTATGTTTCTTTTCATCTGTAAAGATTTTCTTATATACAAACTGAAGAGGATGTTCAGTCCTTCTTGATACCCAATTTCTTCATGGTGGTCAGGACATTGGGACATTGCTTAACTAATTCCTCTGATGTCCTCCTGGCCTAGATGTGTTTCCCTACCCTCCCCCGCTTTTTTTTTCCATAAACTTGAGGGCCTGCTTGTCCTTGAAGACCTTGAGTAGCTCCATGGCACATCTCTTATATGGGGCAAAGTTACATATACCTTTAAAATCATATCCCATATGTACTTTGTATACTTGGTGACACTATTATAATAAATACCATTAACCTCAAACAACAAAAATCTGTTTCTTGCTGTTCCATAGGCCATATGTCCAAGATCAGGCTGATAGTATGGTCAGGTTCTTGTGAGGGTCCTTTTCTTGGTTTGCCAATGGCCACCATCTCACTATATCTTCACATGAAGGTTGCCTCATCTTCTTAGGCACTAATTCCATCATCATCACCTCATCTAGTCCTAATCACTTCTGAAAGACCCACCTCCAATTACCATCAAATTAGGGATTAGAACTTCAACATATGGAATCTGAAAAGACAAAGAAATTCAGTCCATAGCACCAAATATTTTTGAGTTTGTATCATCAATTGATGTTGAAGTTCAAATGTAAACACTATTAACTTTAAATTCTGCAGATTAATTTTAAGTATTTCTCATTGACTGTTCTTAATTCATTTGGGAGGAAGAAGTCTTAAGATTAGAAATGATGTAACATTATTTTGCTTTGGAAGACATGGAACAAAGATGAGGGATTAGGTTAGCATTGAAAAGATCCAAATTTGACCTAAAATTTATGCTGAATATTACTGAGCCCCTGAAAGTAAATTGCAGAGTAGTTTCTCCAGAACCAAGAAATCCTGGGAGTCATTGACTCAGTAGATAACTGTACTGGGCTTGATTTTAGGAAACTAGAAAAGTTCATTATATTAAGGGATATTGTGTTCCTGAGCCTCCCTTCACACATTCTCCCTCCTGAATAATGTCACTGTTCTGAACATACATTTTGTGATTCTGTAGGTTTTGTTTAGTATGCATAGTGTAGATATCAATCCTTCCTTATTAGGTTAGTTGTGGTTAGAAGAATAAATTAAGAACATTACTTTAGGACCCCTGTGATGGTATCTTTGGATCTCTTATGATTAAAATACCCATCTTAATTCATGAGATTCCATGGGGCACTGTGTCTTTTCCTGAGAATTAGATTTTCTTT